AAATTATGTATTGAAGTCAATGGAGAGAGAAAGATTATCTTTCGATCCCGTTTGAATTGTGCCACGAATTACACATATGATGTTTGTCAATTGAAAAGATAATTTTGCAAGTCAAAAAAAAAAATGTGTCGTAAAACTGTGAAGTAACACATTTGTTTGTGTGAAACGCTCAATGAACTACATCTCTGGTCAACAACACACGTCACCAAGATGGCCGTCACTACTGTCTTGTCAACAAAACGATTGACTATCCTCACTATCACCACAATGAAACACGTCCTGAAGAATGTCATGCAAAGCTGCCTGCCTGCCTTCCTTTGATTCTCTCTGAACTGCCTGGTCGTTTTAATGTTTAATGTCAACCATTTGTGCAGATAGCATGAAGTAGAGAAGATCGCCGATGCTAACGTTAGCGTTAGCATTTCTCCCCCGGGCTTAAATGGTGTATTATAGAATGATCACACCGGTGACAGTACTATTCAAAGGGTTCACGAAATATGACTACTACTCTTACTGTTTAACATTTTGGGTTACTTAATGTTACTTCATGTTAAGGCTAATAAAAATGACAAGGCTGTAATGCTAACTAACGTGCTAGCTACTAGCTAGGTAGCTAACTTGATTAAGCCACTCCTGGTCCTTTCATCAGACGGGAAGCAAAAGAACGAGCAAGACCCATTGCTGGTATAATAACAACTTGGTACTAAGCACACAGGCATCTTGTTAAAGTTATCTTATCTTAGCCAGCGCCATATAGATAGATTATATCTATATTGCGCTGATCTTAGGTATCTGAATGGTGGAGGAAAACAATTGTGACATCACTTACGCGACTCTGGGATTTGTAGTCTTTCTAGTTGCGTATTTTTCATAGTCTTATATTTCAACAGTTTTACGACAAACTGTGACTTTTTTGACATGGAAATTATTTGTTAAGATTGACAAACATCATATGTGTAATTCATGGCACAATTCAAACGGGATCGAAAGATAAGTTTTCTCTCCCCATTGACTTCAATGCATAATTTTTCCGAAATAAGGTCCCATTACCCGGAAGTAGGTGGGCGTGACTTCGCCACTCTATATGGTCTAGCTGCGGCCGCGGCCAGTACACGACACTACACGACACGCCCCCTACACGACACGCCCCCTACACGACACGCCCACCTGACACGACACTACGGTGGCTGAGAGACATTACCGTACATGGCAGATTAAAAGCGAATTGACGACACTTATTATTATTATTGAGATCGTACATGGCAGATTAAAAACGAATTGCAAATGTTATTGCAGCATTTTAAGCAACTATTAGGCAAATAAATTAATAACCTAGTCTATCCGTTTGAGACACAACAGTATAACTTTCAACCCAAATCATTTTGTCAACAAACGGTGGTTTAGTAAACTTTTTTTTAATATATAAAATAGGTATTAATGAGATAATCTATTGATTATGTTTGTCTAACTGCTACACATGTATTTTATACATAAATGTAGATATTTGTGAACATCTAAATATAGTTGTTAAAGGTTTTAAGATATACATAATCACATCATGGGGTCATTAAGGAACAAATTAGGAGGGCCAGTCAGGCCACTAATGAGCTCAATCATTCACATGTATTATTATTACTTTATAAATTAAAAGTACTAGGGGTCTATTACAAAACCTTTGAAGGAATCGCATCAATTAAAATAAATGTATGGCAAGTATGATCAAATTAACATAATGTCAAGATATAGCCAATAGACAATCAACATGCTTTGAATATAAAGGAAGAAGAACAATAAACAGATGAACATTTAGGTTTTATGTGTAAATTGTGAACAAACCATCTTAATATATCTGGCAGTCTAAGACAGCAAACTAAGCTTCTTTAACTGCTGCTAGAACACAGTTTTACCATGGGGTATTTCTAACAAGACCAAAAAGATATACAAGGCTTCCAAAACAGAAGAAACCAACTCAATACAGTATTTTAATTTCCTTCAAAACGACAAAAGCACTAATAAAAACCAAATAACAATAACATAAAGGAAAAGTAATTGAAGTGGTTGCCTGTTGTAAATACCTTGGTATCTGGCTTGATGATTGTCTCTTCTCTTGCGTTCGGTCATACCCCCCTTCCCATATTATTATCGGTCAAAATTGGCCGGTGTGTTTTGCACAGTGATATTTCTGGAACCCCTTATCCCATTTTGATGGTTGACATCTCATTTGAACAGTCAAAGCCAGAATGACAGCAGGGGTGAATTTCATTTTATAATTTTGCAATAAGTCAAAGATATGTTTACTGTATATTATAAAAATGCTTGTCATGTAGGCATACTGGAGATGGGAAGGCTTTAGTCAGTGTTGTAGCTGAGATTCTTACCGTTCCAATGATGTATTAATAACTTGGATTTATATAGCGCCTTTCATGAGACCCAAGGTCGCTTTAAAAAGAACAGGAGTAGAAACAAACATAACAAAAGGCAGTCAGACGAACAGTTAGACAGACAAAACAAATAGATTTGGGGCCAAAGACCTTGGCAGACTTGAGGGCCCTTTTGAAGGCGTCAAGCGTGGGGATGTTGCAGATCTCCGCAGGGAGAGCGTTCCAGAGAGTGGGGGCTGCCATACTGAAGGCTCTGTCCCCGAAGGATCGCAGGTTGGTGCGGGGGGCCAGAGTCTGAAGACCGCAGGTTCCGGGGTAGGGCATGTGGGAATTGTATTGATTTGATACAAGCAAGCCAGTGTTTCATTGTGTACTTTCAACTACAGTATATGGTCCGGCAAGTTCAGCATTCACTGCATTCACTGTGATGAATATACAATAAGACACTGATACCGTTTTCCGCAATGAACATGTATTGAACAGAACATCATGTGGAAAATCAGAGGGGCACTATTCAAGCTGGTCTACTTAAAAAAAAAATATATAACCTTTTAAATTGATCCCAACAGTAAAATCAACATGATTTTAAATAAAAATATAAGCAGCCAGGATTGACCTGCAGGAGGTTAAAGCCTATTTAAAAACTCCTCGGAATCCAAAGCTCTTCGGAATCTTTCACTGGAGTCCTTCAGCCTTTGGTGCGCTTCCTCACTCATGTTCTTGGTGAGGTAATGAGAACAAAGTTCCATCTCACTGATAAGACAAGATGGTATAAAGAAGTCATATATGTAATATTATAAATGCACATGCATCAGGGGTTGTACACTTTAAATGGAAATTGTATTAGCATTCTCCTCATGTTTCCAGCTTACCTCCAGTCATACTCGGTTCCACATTTATACGTTTCCTTGGCTCTTTCAAGGGAAACCGAGAGTACAGCTGCAAGGGCGTGGACTGTCGCCTGTGTCATGAAGGGATTAAAGCCACACGTTTAACAGTTAGAGTAAAATGTAGACATCCAATAAAGGTTGTGCCATTCTGCAGGTGACAATTATGCCAGACCAATTGGCATCAACATTCTACTGGACATTGACCATGAGTTTAAAGGGCCCATGTCATGGCCATTTCCACTGATCATAATTACATTGTTGAGGTATACTAAAATAGATTTATACTGTGCAATTTTCCAAACTCACATTGGTTTCGCATACAGCATCTCTGTCAAGCATGTGTATTCAGCAGTATTCATATACTGGGGGAGTGTGTAGGGGTAGGGTGTAGGGCGTGGTTTGGGATTGGGCCATACACACGCACTTTTTTGGCCCCCCCACTTTTAAAATGAATCCGGCGCGCCTGCTCGGTTCCCCTCCTCGGCTCCTCCGCTCGCATCTCCTGTGGGCGGGACTAAGTCTCGAGGATAGGAGTCGAGGAGGGGAGTCGAGGAGGGACATTTGAAGACATGAGAACGGGCCCCGGTCTACGTGGGCTGGGTCCTCCGTGGACCGCGTAGGCTGCGTACTCCGAAGGGTGCAGCCCCTGAATTGAGACTCGGGGTCCTTCTCAGGTCGACTATTTTCATTTCCTCGGTCCTCGGTATCACCGGAAGTTGATTTGTCTGCGCCATCTTGAGTAGCGTCCCATGGCTCTTATTTCTGCCGGAGGACCGAGGATCGTGGAGCGAGGAGCGATAATGGAGGAGCGATAACCGAGGTACCACCAGACCATCCTCCGGTGAAATCCTCAGATACTCTCCCCGCCCCCTTACTGTGTATCGCTCACTGATTGGACGATGCAGCGCATGCACTGATCTGATGCTTCTTGACATGAGAGCAGAGTTTCCCAGCGGAGTGAAGAAAACACATGAAACTCACGGGACTCACTCCTCAGTTTATACTGTGTTTTGTTTCAATGAATGCATCATTCAGTTACAAATATGTGATATATCTGAACAACAAAGTGGTCAAAAATAATTGTATTCATTTATTGGAAACATTTTCATGATCGCTTTTTCGTTTTACATTTTCATTTATTGTCATTTCCATTCAGTCAGTCATTAAGTGCTATTTAACATGTTAATTTGCTACATATCCACACAAACAAAGTGTGCAATCCAATGATTAATGAATGTTAATAGATAACATATCTCTTTTTCTTCTCTGAATTATTTTATTTCTATTGTGCACTCTCATCAATATTAATCCAACTATTGTTCGTTTATACATTTTAAGAATGGCGTTTATCTTTTTTGAGAATGAGTTCTTATTTTATTTAATGTATTTGGGTCTACAACAGATGATACAAATGTTTGTGTCAGTAAATGTGTACTAACAGAGGCGGGGGTGTTTGTGAAAATAACGGGGACAGAGCTGCTGTCAGACGAACAGCTGTGCGGCGTCATCACAAACGGACGTCGCTTCACGTGACGCTCCGGAGGAAAGGACGTCCCATTGCTCTTAAAACTCATTTCCCTGCTTCTCGTGGTTCCCTTGCGTCTCTCCATGCTTCCCTGGTGGGAGGGACTAAACGCAGGGAAACGACGCAAGTGAGGGACGCAAGGATTCCATTTAATCGACCTGAGAAGGACCCACGGCCCCCGTATGTAGTTGTCCAATATGGCGGACCATCTCGCACATGCGCAGTACAGATCGGGCAGGGGGACAGATCGGGTAGTGACAGCTTGTCAGCACCGTTCCATCCCTTAAAATATGCCCTTGACTAACCCCACTAACCCACGTGAGTCAGTCTAAACTGGTAGCGAATCTAGCTGATCAAAAATAAAATAGAAACTAACGTAAAACGGCTAGTTACATCTACTTATTTTATTCTAAAACCCCTGACCTGACACCCGGATAGGCTCTGCTAACATGTCACAGAACAGTAAGTCTCTGTTGTGTTTACTGCAGCGGTGTGTCGCAGTAAGAAAGTTACCGACATGCATCACAACAAGACGCAGCAGCAGCGTGTTGTCGGCCGGGTCCGGCTTCACTTCACAGTCGACATGGACATCCACAACCCGGGCAGTCTGTCCGCTGCAGCTCGCAGTGAGAACCAGCCAGTACCGCTTCTGTACCAAGGTGAGTCTCTTACACAGGGAATTAGCATTCCTGCATTCAAAGTCCTACTCTAGTCAAACTGCATCAAAATAAACCCCACTCAAGTGAAATGCTAGCGTTTATACTCGGTATGCAGAATGGTCCATTTCAGATTGATAAATCCACATCATACCTCTTCAAGTGATTGTAGTTTATCTGTTGGTTTCATATGGCTGATGATGTGCAACTGACTTTTCCATATTTTTTTCAGGCAGGACAACCGCTGGAAGATGAATACACTCCGCTGACGCCATATCAGCCGGAACCAGAGCCAGAGAAGAAGGAGGTGTACTTCATGGAGGTCAGAGGGCTCCCCTGGTCGTGCTCGGTGCAGGACCTCCTGCAGTTTTTCTCAGGTGAGCATTCTGGGAGAAGTCAAAAAACGACTGTCACAAACAAGGGCGTCACTTTGTTAGAAAGTGGTGGGGACACTTTTTTTAGGACCTTTATTTTGATCATAACTCTAATATCACGTATCAATACCATAAACATGGGTCTCAAGTTAAAATCCTTATTGTTCACTGTGCTATAAAATGATTACGCCTGTTGTCCTCCTTATTGTCTAACATAAAAAAACAGAGAACCATAAAACGACTCTCAGCATACAACGAATGATAATGGTAAAAAATGAAGGTTGTGAGAGATAGTAAATACTAATAAAGTACGTTTAACGTGTTTTAGAGTGTAGGATCGTTGACGGGGAGAAGGGGATCCATATCACTGTGGATAGGAACGGGAGGCCGTCAGGAGAGGCCTTCATCCAGGTGGAGCACAAAGACGATGTCAGAAAAGCTCTGGAGAAGCACCGACAGTACCTCGGCCCGCGATATGTGGAAGGTTCGTATCATTGTATTCTTACAGGTCAAAAACCAAATGCTGAGGGGACATTTTGACATGCTGGAACAGGAACATGTAGCAGTCATGGGTGTCCAGAGGGGTTAGGGGAAATCAGAAGTGTGTATTTCAATCTTGTTATGCAAATAAGTTATTGGGCTTTTTTTTATCAAGTAAGATTTGTCCGAAATGTTTTAAACTAGAATTCATTTGAAAAATTGGCTTATTAACGCATGTAATATACAGACGGATGCTCATGTCCTGCTTGCTGGGTTTTCAGTGTATGAAGTGAATAGCAGCCAAGCTGAAGAAATCCTGAAGAAAGCCGTCCAAGTTCCATCTGATGTCGGAGTCGTGCGTATCAGAGGTCTCCCCTACACCTGCACCGAGGACGACATTGTCCAATTTTTTTCAGGTGAACTTCTCTCATTTTCTGGAGATATGGCATTCCCCGGGCGCTGTACAATGGCTGCCCACTGCTCCTAGTACTAGGATGGGTTAAATGCAGAGGTCACATTTCACTGTGTGAGAGGGTTTCATTCTCCGAATCTATTTTCTATTAGGGCTGCTCGATTATGGCAAAAATCATAATCTTGATTATTTGGGTCAATAATTGATATCACGATTATTAAAAACGATTATCCATTTACTTTGAAAACATCCATTTATTGAAAATTTGAACAGTATGTTTTTAACAGTTGATCACCCTGAACTTTAAGTATAATTCAACTGAAAAACCAATAAAAGAAATAATAAAAATAAAACAAATAATCGTTTTATTTCGATTATGTTGTTTTCATAATCGTTGCAAGCCAAAATTGTAATTGCGATTAAAATACGATTAATTGAGCAGCCCTATTTTCTATCTATGTGAGCAGAGCACGAGCTTAAAAAGAGGGTTTTGGGTGGGCAAAAAAAGTTGGACTCTGTGTTTCCCACAGATCTGAAATATACTTGTGGTGGTAGCTGATAACAGGGGGAGCGAACAGGTACAGGAGGGGTAGTTAATCGATCGCGGATGGCGTCGTGCTCGCGGATGGATAAAAAAAGATTAAGCTTGAAGGTAGGGTAGGTAAGTCTGAGAAACCGGCTCGAGATCGCTAGAATTTGAAAATATACAACCAGAGAAAATCTGCCACTTCCTTACAGAGCCAACACACACGAACGCGCACATGACCAATGAGGGCACGAGATAAGTGTGTGCACAGATGACATTTTTTTATGGATTTTTTGTCAAAGCACTTAAGATATTCATTGCTATCGGGATGTTAAGAGCATTCCATGGAATATAACAAAAAGTGTATCTCGAGCCAGTTTCTCAAATGTACCTACCCCACCTTTTAAATGGGCCTGCTTTCTTTTTCTGTAAAAGTTTTTATCCTGTGGTGGCTGCTTATTATTGTTTGATCCAAACATGTCTAATAATCCCAGAGCGTTGTGAAGTCTAGTTAAGTTACATATGTGATGTTATAAGGTAGAACGATAAAGGAAAACATTATCAATATTTGAAAAAAGGTATTTTTCTTAAATGCCAAACATTTCATTCAGTGTCTTTGCGTCCCTCAGGTTTGGAAATAGTGGGGAGTGGGATCACCTTCATCCAAAACCACAGCGGGAAAAACTCTGGAGAGGCCTTTGTGCAATTTTCCTCTAAAGAAGCAGTTGAGGAAGCTCTGCAGAAAGACAGAGAGCTCATTGGACAAAGGTAGGATGCTGCTGCGCTCGCACCACCCGTAATCTGTTCACTTCCAACTGACAGCCGCTGGTGTTACTGTGCAAATACCAGAAAACTCCTTTAACCCTAGTTAAACCTCAACGTTTAAAAAGAATAGTACCTCTCAGGACAACAATGTGTTGGATAGGGTAATTAAAGAAACTGCCATGGAAATAGTTAATATTAATGATATTTTTCCACCTTCACTGAGTTACATTTCTTAACTACTAAATACCAAATATTTATTTATTTTCAGAATCTAGAGCCTTTTAAATGCAAGTTTGTTTAATAAAGACACTGTTGCCCCAAACATGAGAACTGTTTCTGGCAGAAAATGGTAAGAAACTACAATTTTAGAGGTACCGCTTTAGATTGAAAAACCATGTAATAATAAAATGAAGGATTTCATGTTTTAATGGACAAGGGATCAAAAACTGTGGTTCTCAACGGAGACATACTTATTACAGGAATCTGACATTGAACATCCAAAATACAGGGAAAAAGGGAGGGAGGGGAAACACACCTCCGCCAGAATGTTTAATTAACACAGGCACAATGCTAAAAGGCAATCAACCTAGTGAGGCACAAGGGATATGCTCACCCCCTGTTGTTTGATTTGCAGATACATCGAGGTGTTTCCCAGCAGTACTGACCAGATCTACTCCAGTTGGGACGGGAACAGTAGTTCAGTTTCTCCTCAGACCGGCACTCAGTCCTCAAACAGGAATAAGGCCTCTGACTCATTGGACAAACAAGGTGAGGGCCTTTTACGGCACTAGATGGACTTAATCAGCAGCTTATTTACAATGTATTTTTCTATTACACTAACACAATTCACACAACCTAAACTGTGGTAATACATGTTTTCTTTTAAAACAGTGATTATCTCTTTAGCTGTTTTAAGTGGTGACTTATTAAAGATAATAAATGTATGTTGGCTTTTTTTGTGGTAAATGATTTAATCTGTTTATATATATATATATATATATATATGCTCCATCAGGATCCCCTCATGGCCACCACATCCACATGAGAGGACTTCCTTACAAGGTGTCCACAGAAGACATTGTTAAGGTAAAAACTAAATAACTCGGAGAAGTTGAAGATGGTTGTCTTGTTTTATTAAAGGTCAATCCTCATGTGATTTGATATTTTTGAGTATGTTTTTCTCTCGCAGTTCTTCAGTCCTCTAGTTGTGTCTCAAATCACCATTGAGCGCGGTCCTGACGGGCGGCCGAATGGAGAGGCCGAAGTTTACTTCAGCACCCACCAGGACACCTTGAGCGCCATGTCCAGAGACAGAGATTACATAGGTGAGAACGGAGGGACAGCTGGTGCTGGTGTAGATATGGTGTTTGTTATTTACTTTCATTTGTCAGGATGTTATAGCAAGTTTTTTTTTTTTAGATGTCACTGCATCACCATGATGGAAATAATGTCCATAACTTATTATTTATCCTCGTACAACGCCTTCGTATTCTTAACAGTTTCGTATATTTTTTAATGTACGTTATCATTTTAGATAAAGTAAACAGTCAACAACATCTTCTATGTATGTTATGGTTGAAGCATCTTAAATGTGATTGGATGTCATCTTTACTATAATCCCCAGTTTTACTGGTCTGCTACAACATTATGTTACATTATAAAAAAATGATATAATAATCACTGTTGTGTTTGTGTCACTGCGGGTTTAACTGAACATTTGAACCTTCTTTGATTTTTAGGACAAAGATACGTGGAGTTATTCCTGAACTCTTCAGAAGATTTAAGGTGAGAAACACTGAATTAGGTCCACAAAGTTTAAAATTCCAACTTTAAAAAATCTGCTGCATTTCTTCATTTCTAAAAGACAGGTTATTATTAGATATTCTAATATTTAAATGTGAATTCACTTGTTTTACCTTACTTAATCTCTGCTATACTTTTCAACTCTGGATGTGGTTTGACATATTGTACCGTCTCCTGCAGGTGAATGCCGTCCCAGATGCCAAAAAACACACATACAGTACACAGGACTATTGTATTTATGTTCAACCCTACTTGGACTTCAAACAAGAAACATTCCGTGTCAAAATAAAAATAAGTTTGTAACTGGAACCGTGTGAGATTCAGCTGAGTTTTTCTTCAACTCCTCCATAATGATGCATGCTAATCTGCTTTGAAGGTGTAGTGAAACCAAACCATTTAATTATTCTTGTCAATACAATTAGCAAAATTGTGGACACTTTTACTCTAAATCTGATGTTTCAATATCTGCTAAACTTATGAAGCAATTAACCAAATTTAAGTAAATGGACCTCCCCTTATAGTATAACCTATTTCACATTTGACCACCACCATTGTATTAAGCAATGAAAATAGCAGCATGATTGTTGGCATATTAGGCACCACGCGCTAGTTGATTCACCTTTGAGATAACATCCAATTATGTAATCAATTTACAGAAAGTGCTTATGCTTTACAAAAACTAGCATCTAAAGTGATTTGTGTTTCGATCAGAAATAAAAAGGTTGATTTGAATGGTAAAACTAATTGCAGATACATCTTGTCAAAGTTGTGTCTGTGAACCAAAGATAACTTATTGTTAACAGTCATCCACTTAACCTAAGAGCTTTTTATCTATTCTAAAAATAAATCTATACAAAATAGCTCAAAGCAATAAAGAACACCATGCACACTGAAAATGTCTTGGAAAACCTAAGGATTAAAATAAAAATGACTGGATAATCCATTCAAACAGTAACATTTAATAAAAGTTTATTGTTGATCATCTAACACGCATTTCCATCTCATGTGTTAAAGAGCTTCAACAAGAACAATAAGCTGTTTTACTGAGCTTCTAATTTTTCTTCATATAAATCAAAACATAAAAAAGCTGTTGCAGCTATAAGCCCTATTCAGTACAGCCAGAGCCATGCTTTTAAAAGTGCCGTAATATGTTTAGATGTCCAGAAAAGAAAGGTAAATTATCCAGAAAACAATAACCTCAACTGCCGAACAGGGTCTTTAAGAAAATGTGTTAATGCCACTCCTAACTAATACTGAACACAATAGTAAATAAATATTTTACCAAGAATATTCAGCTTTGTAAACTTAGTGTGGCATCATGGGAAATACGATTATATCTGAAGAAGCTACAGCCACTAGCATGTTAGCTTAGCCGAGCATAAAGACTATCTGACTCAGTCCAAAGGTTTGCCTTCCAGTAATTCTAAAAGTCACTAAAACACATTCAACACTAAAGGAATTTACTGTGCCCAGGAAAAAAAGAGTCCCCCCATACCATCATTTTTACACTTTATCTGTTTTCGTACTATAAAACAAAATATATATACCAATTCTAGTCTTTGTGCTAAGCTAAGCTAACCTGCTGCTGACTGTAGCTTCATATTGAATGTAGTTGTAACGATTTTGTCATTAACTCATTGCAAGACAGAATCAGCACACTGCCCAAAATGTCAAACAGCATACTCCACTCTACAGTCTGAACAGCACAGTGTGAAGTCTCCATCACATAATGATATTGTGATAAGAAACACGGCACAGACTAGCAATTTGCCATTGTGATACAGTAGCCTACATCTTAAATATTTGTATTTTTTCTAGTCTTAAAATTACTCATTAGACTTGACACATGTATTAATAGAATTTCTTTAAATTCAAATTTAGAGTGGATAATAAAGCTTTCTCCAAATATTGACACATTTTAAATACAATGTTTCATAAAGTATTTGGTCAAAAGTGTGAAACTTCATGCTTCATCTAATCCACTGGATCTTTTACTGATCTGTATATGATTTAGAGCGGTGGAGAACAGTTGTGACTAAAACAACAAAAAAGTCTTGTATTTTAAAACCTAATTACTTTTAATATAAATATAACAGTTGACCTTCTTAATCAACCATCCACTTAGTGGACATTGTGCAGAGTCAGTTTTCATGCACGAGATGAGATGATTCAAGTTGACTTTTTCTATACATTTCAATCCAGGTGCCATTTGACAGCTTTTTGAGTGCAGGTTTTCCCGGAGGAAGAATAACAGATAACAACAGTATCTGAAAGAATAAAAACCTGCCTCCAAAAAAAACAGCTCTAATTGGCACATGTTTGGACATTAGAGTTCAGACCTCCTTCGGATCGCCATCAGATTTTTCATAACGTCTCAGGACACAAAGTCAAAAAGTGCATTTTTGCAGTGCCAGCTTTGTATTGAATGCCTCGGTTTCCATGTGTCCGATCATGGTGTCCTGTAGTAAAATGCGGAGTTGTTTCAGGTTGGTGTTGAAGCGTATTGTTGGAGCAACAGAGAGAAGCAGGAGGTACACACAGTCTCTGGGAGGATGGAGGAAGGTAACGGCAGCTCGTTGGACACACAGCTCTCACAGAAAACCCCGCCGCAGTTCTTACACTGCTTCTGCACACAAGAGAACAGGGTTATAACACACTGGGACAGGAAGTGAAGGACGCTGGCAGATTGAACCCCACAAAGTATTATTTATTTCACACCTCAATAGTTCTTATAGCACTTTGGCTGTTCCATTTATATCCTGATTTCAAAAAGTTGAAACAAACCATTTTTCTCAAATTATAATTAATGATATTTTTGGGCAAGTGACTACTTTTTAAGTATTCAAAAATGCAGCACCGCATTGATCCAACTGAAGATTTAAAACAAGGTATGTTTTACTTCAGAGCAGTAACAGCTCTTTTGTAATTCTGTTTTCATGTCTGCTGTTGAGAAAGTTTCATAATGCGGCCAAACTTTCTGTCTATTTAATGTCAATATTTTTAAATCTTAAGAAATCAATTTACTGTACGTCTCACTCAGAGCTCGAGTGGTTCACCAAACATGTCAATGGTATAAAATCAAATCAATACAGGCATCCAGGAAATAATCTGCAGATGCTCAGTTTAAAAATGTGACCAAACTTTATGTGAGATTAGCCACATACACAAATGCATTATCCACACAGGCTAATATGGTAAATATAATACAAATTAGTTGATAAAGTGAAATTGAATTGATGCTAATTTGAATTAAAAGTTCATAATGGAGGAGTGCCATGACCAAGTTAAAATTTGGTATGAAGAATAATTGGTCTTCAAATCCCATTTGTGTAAACCTTGCATTTAATTGTATCATTGGTTGTCAGTTCCAGTAATGTTAGGGTAAAGACAGAGGCTGTGGGCTTTTGATTTATAGCAGCACTTCATATTGTGAAATGTATTGTGGGACACGAAGGTAGGAATAATATTCCGTTCTCGTACCTTTGTCTTCAGAAGGGAGTCCTCCTGTTCACACATCGTACAGATGCACGGCGGACTGATCTCCCCTAAGGACTCTTCCTGCAGGAAATCGGTTGAAAATAAGACTGATTATTATTATTCATATGGTTAATTATAGCCGTTTTCTTATGTATTGAATCGCTGATTGACTGTTACTACAGTTCTTGTGTGCATCTGTATGGTAACAAACTACTTAATTTAAATACTTGGAATGATTTTTTCCTTATCAAAAAGGTATAAACGGATAATAAACTACAGTAAGATAATCAAATATGTTACGTAGTGCATGTTAGACCTTACCTGCTCATCCTCATGGTGTGACCTTGAGGACCTTAAAAAAGGAGGTAAAATAATAAATAAAAATAACATTTCCTCAATGATTTATGTTTTTCCTAAAGCTGTAGTTGTTAACAGGACCTACAGGCTGGAGCTCAGACTGCTCTTGTCCTCTGCTCCTGACTGCTCGCTCTCCCTTCTGGCTGACAGAGCTTCTGAGGGACGCTGTTCGGACAATACACAATGCCGGTTTCTTCAAATGCCGTTGCCATGGCAACACAATGCTCGCCATGAAACATGGTTTTCTCATAACTTCAGTGAAAATGTTCCAAACGGCCCAAAACTTCACAGGTTTGGTAACGATGCAGCCATCAACGCATCTAAGCGTATTATGGGGTGTCATCAAATGCCGTTGCCATGGCGACAGATCATTCACCATCAAGTTATTTCAAAAGTTTGCAGTTCAAATATTCTGCTGCTTTTCCAAGCCTTTTTACTTTCTTTTCTTCTCTCATCACACATTCAAGCCCCCAGTGTTCATGTATCATTTCAATCTAAATTCTTCACTTTCTTCTTACACATTACATTTCAGCATAGCAGTTTAGCGTCAGCTTTTCAGCATAAAGCATTCCCACTAGCAATTTCTTCAGGAATTGCATTCTCTAGTTTTATCTGTTACTTCCCTTTTACTCCTAGATTATAAAGGAACGTAACAAATATGACCTCCATTGTGTTGAGTGACTCCTCTCATACTGGTTCTAAATTAGATGCCAAGCTGCGGTCAGCTCGTCTCTAGTTGGAGCAGGAGGAGCGAGGGTTTCAGGTCCAGGGAGCTGGAAATTCAAAAGTTGGAGGCAGACACAGCTATCCAAATGTGTCAGCTAGAGCTGCAGACAAGTTTAGATGTTACCTCTTCTGGTACACAACCGTTGTGACGTTCTGCTGCTGCTGCTTTGATGTGAGTATTAACATTCTGCTGGTTCCAATCTTTCGCAAGATTGAAGTTGAGTCCTACTTTAGTGTGTTTGAACACATTGCTGTTGCTTTGCTGGCTGGAAGATGTGTGGGCCATACTTTAACAGTGTAAATTAGTCTGGGAGGCTCAGACGGATTGCTCTTCTCATCCTGTTTACGATACTCTTGTGTATGACAAGGTTTAAGGTGCTATCCTAAAGGCATATGGGTTAGGGCCTGAGGCCTACGACAGTGTTTCTTTCATGGGCTCTAGAAAGCACCTGGCCAGACCTTTGTCGACTTTGCAATGGAGAAAAGAAACCTTCTGAAGAAAAAGGTGTAAGGAAATTAAAGCAGAAGACATGGCTGCAGTGTGTGAGCTAGAGGAATTTAAAAACTGTCGGCCCAAACATACTGTTTACTCAAAGTGGACCTATCATGCTATATTTAAATGATATATTGTAGGGCCATACCTATATAAGGTATATTTATACGTTTCTGTTTTCAAAATACCAAACAGATCATGCATTTTAGCCATGCCTCATTTCGCTCTATGTGCTGTTTGCTGTCTATGGGTCTGATTCTGCTGACCACGCCCCCCTGCAGGAGAGGTGAGCCGTGCTCTGATCAGCTGCTGGGCTGTCAGAAGAGGGGGAGAAAAAGAGATCTCCGTCCTCCGTGTTTTATTATATAGAGTCGTTATTCATTTGTTTTAAAGCTCAATAAATAACAAAGAAGACCTTTGACCGGCACTTTTCTAATTTTGTCCGGAAGATTTAAACTTTAACGGACATCTTGACCGGCGAAAGTAACTGAAACTGAAACTCTGCCGCAAGGTCCCATCGTTCCTTGGAAGAGGCGGAGAGGTGGGTGTTTGTCATCTGCTGGTGGACTAACCGGAGAGAATTACAGTGCTTGCCTCGACGGGGAGGGATTGCATTGAATTAAAGCAGCGGGAGCAAGCGCTTGCCTCGGGGAGGGAGAAAAAAAGCTACAGCGGCGAATAAACAGAAGGGTAACCATGGTAACTATGGGCAGGAAGTCTTCTTCGCTGCTTTTGTGGCAGACTACAGCGCCACTTACAGGATGTCACCACCCTGCAGCAGGCTGCCACGATGGGTTTATGCTAACCAGGGCCGCCCCTGGCCAACTTGTGGCCCCACGCAAAGTTATATGATGAGGCCCTCTGTGACGCGAGCGTCGACGGGGGGACGGGGGACGGGGTTGCTAGTGGAGCCTCGCATAGGCGAAACCGTGGCGCGCATTTGCGCTTCAGATGAGGCTCCCTCTGCAAAATGAAGCACCCTCCGCAAAATGAAGCACCCTCCACAAGCTGAGGCCCGCTCCGCGAGTTGAGGCCCCACGCAGTCTGCGTGATCGGCCTGTAGGGAGGGGCGGCCCTGATGCTAACGCACAGTAGTGTTTTTGCTCATCATCTTTTATACGGAGCATGTGTCGAGTAATCCCGGAAGTTTTTTTTTAAGCTTGTATCGAGGTTTGTATCGTTTTGGGCCAGTGACGTCACCGATGACAAACTAAGCCTCGCTGCCCCTCAATACCACGTGATTGCTTCAGAAAGTGCTTTAGATCGGTTGAACCACAACGCTCAGGGGCCTCATTTATAAAGCCTTGTGCAGGATTCACGTGGGAAGGTCGCTTACGTAGGACAAAGCAAATAAATGCGCACAGACATTTTCCGATTCATACTGCGTACCGGCGTAGGACTTGCGTGCGGCACGTCCTACGCCGGTTTCCCTTTATAAATCACAATCAACTCGAAATGCGGCGCAGCTTTTGCGGGCTTCACGTAACGCCCATATTTGCCTATACATAATCAAAGAAACGCCCCGTATTAATATTCATTTTGACTGACTGCATGAAGAAGATCGCAGGAAATTACGACAGAACAGCTCAAATCGCAGGAAATGACGACAGAACAGCTAAAAAAGACATCTCACACTGTGTCAGATTTTGGTTCTTTTGGGAAGGTGGAGACAAATCACATTGTTTTGGTGGATGCAGTTTGAACCAGACAGTAGCAGCATGGAGGTCGGATCGTCACCAAAATAAATAAATAAGTGGTCCGAAAAAGGTTAATGACAAAATACACATAACCTTCCTCAGGCAGTGTGTCAGTGTGTTTGTGCCGGGGACAGGAGACCCCCCCATGATGAGAAACTGTAAGAAAGTATCGGGGGATCCCTGCGGAGTGGAGTCAATTAATGTTTATTTTTGTATTTGGTGGTTTGTGTTCCAGCTGTCGATCAGCTGTGCGCAGCGTCTCCACTGCAGCCTGTCTCAACCCCCCCGCAGCAACTCTATATCCACCAGTTAAAGGAAATAAAACTAATGTGTTGAGTTATATCAGCTGCCAAATCTACCAAATATATGGTGTTCTTAGTTTCCATACCTCCTGTGTTTGATGAGCAACTTATCAAGTCTTAGCAAACATGATTAAACATGATAGTATATAAAACCATGCTCGTATACAACCTATAGAAATACCAAACGGCCTCAGTTTAGACGTAATTCTGTCCTTCTGCATACCGCATCATTTATGAGAATACATGTCATAACATTAAGAAGACAACATATTCGAGGTGGTTTTCAATAACATATCCGTATATATTTATTTCTCCAAGTTACGTTTTTGTGTGCACTGAGGAGTCTCAAACAGGCGTTTGTTTAATCATTTTAAGATTGGCTTTAATCAATGTTTGCAAATGAATTCTTCATATATGATACATGAGGTAACATTTTATTTATGGTATTATTTTCACATATTTCTCTCCATTCTTCCTTCTGCCAACGGTGTCGCAGTTTCTCGTCTCTCCCGTTTTTGTGCTTAGTGCGTACGCATGGGTCAGAGTTTGCGTGGAGGACCGCACATTTTCCCGTCAAGTTTGTTTTTTATAAATCACAAACATTGCTTAGAAACTGGCGTACGCCATCTTTTGAGCTTACGCACCGTTTATAAATGAGGCCCCTGGGCCGTCCCTCATCATCTAATTTTGCGTGGGGCCTCAAGTTGGCCAGGGACGGCCCTGACAACGCTCATATTACCCATGGATGTATAATAAGAACGATATTACCCCTCCTGTATCCGGGCCCGGTGACACGATGGAATTAATTAAGAGAGCTCAGACCCTCACTCATATAGAGGTCGGAACATGTCATAAGTATAAATAAATAAAAGCATAAATAAATGAAGGAATAAAAACATGAACAAATAACTACATGAATAAATACAGGAATAAATAGGATGCAGTTTTTTCAGATAGATTCAGTGTGTGGGCTGTGGCTCAGCTGGAAAGCAGTTGACTCACAACCGCAAGGTCCCTGGTTTAACCACTGGTCAATAAGTATTTTTTGTTTGTTTATAAAAGCTACAGCTAAATTAGATAATGTGGTTAATAAATGTATTCTTTGATATGGTTTAGCCTTTCTCAGGCTACAACATGGTTAAAGGTGGGGTAGGTAATTTTTGAGAAACCGGCTCGAGATCGCTAGAATTTGAAAATACACAGCCGGAAAAATTCTGCCACTTCCTTACAGAGCCCCTCCTCCAACACACACGAACGCTCACATGACCAATGAGGGCACGAGATAAGTTTGTGCACAGATGGAAGGTTGACAGGCAGGTAGGCCATCCAGTTATTTTAGTCGGGCCGGCTAAAATGATTGGTCGTGCTTTTTACAGTACTACGGCTTCCACAGATGACATTTTTTTATGGATTTTTTGTCAAAGCACTTAAGATATTCATTGCTATCGGGATGTTAAGAGCATTCCATGGAATATAACAAAAAGTGTATCTCGAGCCGGTTTCTCAAACTTACCTACCCCACCTTTAAGTTTACGAATATTATTAAGGAATACAAATCCCTCTTTGCAATGTTTACCAGCCTCCTTAGGCTTTTCAATCACAATCATTAAACTGGAATAAATACAATATTGTTAACATGAAAATATGATTTTATGTTCGTTGTTTAGAGTTATTCTAAGGCTTTACTCATTGGGAACTCGGTATGAGATAGAGCACACTGTTGAGATGTCAAATCTGCCTGTTTTACACACTTTGACCAACAGGTTTGTGTTCAAATGAAGCCCATGATGAAGCCTCATGAGATGAACCCTTTTGCGAACCAATTGGCTGGAAAGCTTCAAAGCTTCATAAGGCTTCATCTCGCCATCAGTACCAGAAAGTTCATCACATGCATTCTGCACGTGCTGATTCTGTTGCCATGTCTGGTTTTAGAAATAAG